AAACTCCCTAATTGAGCATCTATTAAAACCTTTCATTCATTTCAGTAAACACTTTGTATCTTGATAATGTTCTATATATCTCTGAATTTCATGCCAACCTGGTTTCTATTCCCCGAATAGCCACTGCTTTGAATTATATCATTTACTTTGATTCCTCTAAATATTTGATATAAGGGAACTATACCCTAAGGATGATTGGTACAGCTGAGCTAACTAATAGATTTTACATGCTTACTTTTCCCTCCATTTTAGTCCCTATCAATGCTAAACATGTTATTTCTAATAATCACATTTGTTTTAAGTCTTGTAACAGCATTGGCAATAGGTTTAATCTATGGCATAATCTCCTTGGTCACCCCTAAGAGGGATAATGTCATACATCAGAAACATGGTGACACTCCTTGGTCACTGTTTTGAGTGTCACAGTGCTCTAATTTTGCAATCTCATTTGCCTAATATTTTTATGGCTCATGCCCTCCATCATGCAGTATACTTAATTAACAGACTTCCCTCTCATTTTTTACAATTCAAAACTCATTTTCAAATTTTATACAATAAAATTTTTGAATACTTTGGCATTAAAGTGTTTGGTTGTCTAGTTTTGCTTGCACTTCTAAACACATCAAATCTAAACTTGACCTAGATCTTGCAATTATATTTACTTAGATAACAAAGATGGAATCAAAGGTCACATTCTCTTTGACGTTCAATCTATACTTATTTTTCTCTCTAGAGACACTTTGTTTTTTGAATCTATTTTTCTCTATCCCACCATAAACAGCATTAACCTTTGACATCCCACAACTCCTCTACCTCTGAATGCTTCATCCCGATCCATAACCCATGCTGACTTTGACCTTGACTATCTTAATCATCAAGCCCCCACGCCACCTCTCCCACAATTCCTCAACCTATGAATGCTCCTAACACAACTCAACCCTTACCTTCCATAAATATACTACAAACAACATTCCCCCACCATCCCCACTCAATTAAACCCCACTTCTACAACCACTACAATACCCACCACCGCACCTACTAGAAAATCTAGTCATATCTCCGAGCCTCCTTTGTATCTCCAAAACTTCCACTGTTCAATTATTCATAATTTGTCTACTTCATTCACAGGTAGATCTCTTCACCCTTTAACTCACTATTTATCTTACGCTAATTTAACACATTATCATAAATTTTATTTCTTTAAATTTATCTTCCATCCCTAAACCTACTTATTTTTCTATTGTAGTTTTTATCCTAACTGGAAGAAAGCTATAGATTTAGAATTACATGACTTTATTGGCAATCAAACTTTAGGTCTTACTCCCCTCCCCCCTAATAAATCGGCAATTGGTTGCAAATGGGTATTTAAGATAAAGTTCCATTATAATGGCACTATAGAGCGATGCAAAGCTCGTCTAGTCACCAAAAGCTTTACCCAAAGTGATGGTCTGAACTATCATGAAACATTTATCCCCGTTGTCAAAATGACAACAATCCATTACTTGCTTTCTATTGCATCCACCAAAGGTTTCCATTTACATCAGTTAGATATTAACACGACCTTTCTCCATGGAAAATTAGATAAAGAGGTCTATATGAAACTCCCTACGGGGCCTTAACTAATCCTTCAAAAATCTTGTATGTAAACTCAATAAGTCTATTTATAACCTTAAGCAGGCTAGTAGACAATGGAACAATACCCTCACTATCACGCTTCTTGAATTATGGTATACTCAATCCAAGGTCAATCACTCTTTATTTACTTAAATTGATAATTGATATTTCACTGTCATTCTAGTATATGTCGATGATATTTTACATGCAGGTAATAACTTGTCAGAATTCAATTATATCAAATATGTTATTGACAAACATTTTAGCATCAAAGATCTTGGTATATTAAAATATTTCCTAGGTTTCGAAATTTCCAAATGAACTGTTGGCATGTCATTGTGCCAACGATAATACTTCCTAGACTTATTACAGGACACGAGTTTATTAGAAGTTAAGTCTTCCTCTACACCCATGGACCCAACATTCAATTTGATGTTAAACCAACGAATTTACTCCCTAATTTGTCTCACTTCCAACGTTTGATAGGTAAGCTGGTCTATTTAACGCATTCACGACCTGACATTTGTTTTTCTGTTTACAGAGTTAGTTAGTTTCTAGCTAGCCACATCAAAATTCAACTCAATGCAATATTAACGATTGTACGATACTTGAAAAATGCGTCGAGCAATTGACTGTTTTTCAAAGAAAATTCCAGCCTAACTCTAATCGGGTTTGCAGATGTTGGCTGGTGCTCTTACACGCTTACTAGACGTTTACTACAGGTTTCTATGTCTACCTAAGTTCCTCTCTAATCAGCTGAAAATCAAAGAAGCAGATCGTCGTTTCTCGATCATCCTCATAGGCTGAATATCGTGCTCTCCCAACCTCCACGTGCGAAGCACAATGGTTGTTACATCTCTTACAAGACTTATCCATCTTGCAATCCTAGCTCATGTCAATTTTCTGAGACAATCAAAGTGCAATCCACATCGCAACGAAATTGATGTTCCATGAGCATACAAAACACATAGAAATGGATTGCCGCATTGTTAGAGACAAAGTTCAAGTTAAAGTCATTCACCTGCAACCAATACCTTCTTCAAATCAAATTGTTGACTCCTTCATCAAAGCCTTACATTTGGGTCCCTTCAATTCTACGGTTTCAAAATTGGATTTGTTCAACAATCATTCTAGTTTGAGGGGTGTTAAAATACCACATTAATTATTTAGTTGGTTTTATTTTGTTTAATATTGTTTACCAATCAGATAGATAATTCACATTTTTCTTCTAGATTGGTTGCACTTTATGATGTATATACGAGACCATTGATTAACTTTTGATTGGATGAAATATTTTTTTCTGATTTTCTTTTTCATTTGTCTTTTGTGTGTAAATTGTGATGATGAATATCACAATTTAACAAAACCAATTGTCTCGGTCCAGAAGTCTTAGTTAGATTGATAAAAGTCAATAAATAGTGTTAGATTGGTTGTTATTACTAGAATTTGAACTCTAGTGATTATTACTATTTTGTGTACAAATCTTAGTTAGATTGATAGAAGTCAATAGTGTTAGATTGAACGTTATTACTAGAATTTAAACTCTTCGGAATTATTACTATTTTGTCTACGAATAAAAATAAGACTATTATTACTAATTTTGACAATATAATCTTGTAAGATTAAAAAGACAAGTATAATGATGATAATAGAATCGGTGAAAACTGATGCATGACATCATTTAACTTGTAATAACTTGATTGACTAAAGTTATTAATCATATAGTGAGCAAACTAATTCCATGTTAGTCTCTAAACTCATCTTTGCAATCTTCCTCATTAACAACTCAGCCTTATCTCTCACTCTAGCCGAACCCCTCACAGAAAGATCAGCCAACACACTTGAAAACTCAGATAACATCAAAGCCTCTCTAACAGATTCGTCACTCTCATCAAAAAGTCTAACAAGAATATCAACTGCACCTTCCTTACACAACAAGGACCTTCCTTTCAACACACTTAGCATTGAACTTATTATCTCATTTGTTTTCTTCACTACATTCAACCCTTCATCAAACCTCACAAGGAGACCGAGAACGGTAAGAGACGTTCCAGCCAAATCCTCGTTGATATTATCAGTGCTCTTTACGACTTGAAGCAGGACCGGAACTGCTCCGCCTCGAACAGCTAAAGTGCAATTTCCATGGAATTGAACGAGTTCAGCCAAAGAACTTAGAAAATGATGGGCGTCTGCGGAATCAATAAGAGAGTCTTCAATAGCCTTCACCAACAGCTGGACAGTACCTGCTACTCCGAATTTGGCTTTGTTTTTATCAAACATGGCCAAACTACAAATCAATGAAGAGGCGAGTTTGCACGAATCAAGGGAACATGGCGATGATGACGATGAGTTTATGAGAGAATTGAGGTGGTAAATCGTTTCCATGTCTGCTAGAGATTGCTTTAAATCAGGGTTGAGGGAAAGGTTAAAGAGAATCAACAAGGAAAGTGTTTGGATAATAGAGGAGGAAGCATTTGTGAGTGTGGCTAAGGTTGGGATTGCTCCATCTGTTTGAGCTACCAAAGTTCTGTTTTGCGGACTTACCTTGGTGATGGCAGCCAATGTTTGAAGACCTTTCTCCTGAGCTTCATGAGAATCTGATTTTGCAAGGGTGAGACATTCATTTATGGCGTCGTAAACGCGAGATGACGACGACCATGATGATACAGACATTTCTCTGTTTTTGATCTATGGTATCTGTTTTCAAAACAGAGGTTGTGGAGTATTTATAAAGCTTAAGGGTAGATGAAATGGCCTAAGCTTCAACAACAATGAAGTGGATTTTGATGGTTACAATGTTTTACTAACATTGGAATCTGCCCCACTAGGTTTTTTGTCTGACTCTGGATTGTCCTGAGTGTCACATTTCTTTCATCACATTGTGCCGTCTCCTTACCACATCATTAACCAAGATTAAATTACATTGAGCTGATCTCTTGGTATAAGACATGATACACTAATCATTATTTTTCTACCAGATCAATATTTTAATTCCAATAATGTATATCGATAATAATGAAAATATCTAAATTTTAACTAAAATATTTTATGTATTTGTTAAGTCGGTTAATATTTAGATTTTGTAGTAAAGCACACTACAACTTCAAAACAAACAAAATTGCAATTTAAGATCTATTTATGAAGGAGCATTATGGATCAAATCTAATGTGTTCCAAAATTTTATAAATCCAACTCAAATGTTGTGCTACCGAAGGCAAGTCAGGCAATGTTTCTAACTCCAGTTCGACCAAATTCACATGCAATTGCTGTCTATGAAAGGGAAGAAATAAACATGAGACCCGCAAATTCCAGCATGCAAGCAAAGTATGAGGTAAAGCTCAAAATATCGAAGCCCCCAGTACATAAAACATGTGACTATTTCACATTTAGCCTGAGTCCGGAGAACCATCGTCATACGAGACCAAGCCTTTCTTTCCATCTGGGCTTTTGGATGATGACTTTGACCTTCTGTCTCGACTTACTTTTTGTGGAGATGGTGATTCTACAGAAGACCTGGACTTAGGTAAACTCCTGCTTCTGCTCCGAGAAAATGATGAATGCCTTTCTACACGAGAGGGGCGTGATCGATCGGGGGAAGTACTCCGAACTGGAGAGCGAGTTAGAATTGGGCTGCGGCTTCTGCTATATCGCCGAGCTCGGTGGCGTGGACTGGGAGACACAGATGGCGTTCTGCTCCTCCTTCGGTACCTAAAGTATAAACTCCCAAATAATTATATGAATTCGAGTATTATTAAATATATGGCACAAGGAACTAACAATGGGCATAATAAGCAATGCAACAAAACAAAACCAAAAAAAATAATAAAATGATATATAGAAAGCAATTGTCATAGGTAATAAAAGCAACAAAACAAAACCAAAAAACTAATAAAATGATATATAGAAAGCAATTGTCATAGGTAATGAGGGGGAAAACCTTGGAGGAGTTCTTCCACGTGGTGGTGGGCTTCTGAAACGCCTGGGGGAATACCTTTTGTAACTTGAATATCTGCTGCCAGAATGTTTAAGTCTATCACTCCACTATTAAATATCAATACCAACAGTGAGGTAACTAATTAAAAACTGCATATAACTTTACCTGTCACGATCAATTCTACCATTGTACCGGTTTGACCTCACCGGAGACCGAGAAGGTGTTCTGTACCTTCTTGCGTAGGAGTATCGCTCGCTGAAACCTCTTCCCCTTCTGATACGCTTTGGTGAAGCATCGGGTGAAGCACTCCTAGACAAATTACCCCCACGAGGTGTCCTCCTACGTACAGGGCTAGGACTCCTAGAATAACTGCGGCGATTGCTCCTACTAGGTGCTCTGACAGGACTCCTGCTGATGCTTCTCTTTAAAGGGACCCTACCAGAGCTTCTGCTTAAGCTTCTTACCCGTGATCTAACTGGACTACGACTTACACTCTTTCTTGACACTCTTACAGGGCTTCTGCTCAAGCTTCTTGCAGGTGATCTAATTGGACTACGACTTACACTCTTTCTTGACACTCTTACAGGGCTTCTGCTTACGCTTCTTGAAGGCAATCTAATTGGACTGCGACTAATGCTCTTTCTTGACACTCTTACAGGGCTTCTACTGATTGTTTTTCTTGATGATGCTCTAGGAGAACTCTTGATCCGGCGGGATCTAACAGGGCTCTTGCTGACACTTTTAAGAGGACGAGCTATAACAGGACTTCTACTAATATTTCTCCCCTTTCTGCTTCTCACTGGGCTCCTGTTGATGATGCTTCTTCTTGGACTCCTACCAATGCTTCTATCAGGACTCCTGTCGATGCTCCTAACAGGACTCCTGCTCAAACTCCTCCTTGACGGGCGAGGAGGGCTTCTACTAACACATGGGCTTTTGCTCATTCTTTTCGGGGTAATACTACGGCTCTTGCTCCTACTCCTCCCGGGACTAATACTCATGCTCCTACTCGTGGGTCGCTTAGGACTTATGCTTCGACTCCTGCTCATTGACTTTTTATAAGTGAAAGAAATGATAAGCATAACAAATAACTGAGGCGACAAGAGAAAGAAGTATTACCTATATTTGCCCAAATGATCATCCATCACATCAGGCTGCATCTCTTCACTTCTATCAGATCTATATACAGCTCCAGTACCATTGGTATGCCGCTCTCCATTTTCCATTATTATTTTTGGCTTACCCTCAGGCATACCTGCCTCTTCCTTTTTATGATGAACGGTAGGTACATCTTTCTCCACCACTGGGGAAGAGGTCACTTCAGCTGGACATTAAAAAAAGGAGAGAAACATGTGATGCATATATCCCAAGGAATTAAACTTAATCCAAAAATAAATAAATAAATAAACATTAGGATGTATTCAACAATTTTTTTAAGATAACTACGGGTCACAATTTTATTTGGAGAAACAATTAACACAATTTTATTTGGAGAAACAATTAAAATGCTTCAAAATTTACCTTTCTTCTGAGAACGATCTTTTTGCTTCAGCCCTTTCTGTTGAGTATCAAGACTTTCACTGTCAGAGCTACTCTCACTCTCACTATCTGATTCACTGCCAGATTCCCTGATAAAATATGGCATTCAGTTTGAAACTTTGAAAAGACTTGTTCTCCCAAGATATTACATTGAAGTTTTTGAGAAATCAATGTTTCAAACTCATAAACATTGAAGATATTACATTCAGTTTGAGATATTACTTTGAAATCAATGTTTTTCTAGTAAAATGAAAAAGAATGTGAATTGAAAAAAGAATAGTTAATAAAATCACAGATCAAATTCATAAACTTCAAGCCATCAACAAATTCCGACTGTCAAATGCAAGAAAAACATCATTCTCAAGAAAATGTAAAAATAAATAAATAATAAATAATAAATAATAAAAATAAAAATAAAAACTTGAAAAAGAATCTCTGCAATAGATTATTGCATGCTTACAAAGCACGCATCATAAGAGATTTGGTACAAAAAAGAGTGCGCGTGAGAAACTTGTATCAATATGCACTCTATGGGAAATAACCTACTTCAATCATTGTGCATCCATGATAATACATTCCTCACAACAAAGATAAATTACTATCAATATTTAAGTATTCAATACCTTTTTGATCTACGCTTCGATCTCTTATCTAGTCTTTTTCGCCTTTTGTCACGGCGTTTATCTCTCTTTTTTTCGCGTTTATATTTGTCTTTCTTAGATCTCTTCCTCTTTTTTCGTCTATCATCATTAGAGGAACTTGTATCAGATGATGAGGACGTATCTGAGTCAGAATCACTGTCAGTTTCTGAAGATTCTGTGTCTGAATCTGAAGAACTCTCCGATTCAGAAGAGCTGTATCTTCTCTTTTTCCTTCTATCTTTTGCAGATCTTTTATGCTTTCCTTTCCTCCGTGTTTCATGGTTATTGCCTTCGCAAGACCCATCCTTTCCTGCTTTTGATTTGTTTACTTTCTTTCCATCTACGTATATGAATATTCAAATCAAGGGTTTAATAATATTAAAAACAAAAAGTGGTTAAGAATAGTGTCTTCAAATAAAGAAGGAAAATAAAAACAAAATAGACTAAACTCAAGCATTTAAAGGGAAAGTTCGGAGATAGAATTTTCATAAATGTATTCATATTAAGAGTAGAACTGTATTATTCAAATGAGTTAAGCAATGCGTACCCTCGTTATATTCACCACAATAAATAATTTTAACAGTTACAGTTGGATGTCCTTCATCATCACCCACATCTGCAATTCTCCTCAATACTTGAACCCCTTCAACAAGCTTCCCAAAAACTACATGCTTCCTGTTAAATTGCCTCACAGTAGCACAATTAAGCAATTTATCTTACCACACCCTCACAAACAAATATAACATCAAAGTAACAAGTCAAATGCCACCAAAAAATATGAGAATAACAAACCTATCAAGATGATGATCAGCTTTCAAAGTGATAATAAAATGAGACCCAAGTGTGTCACGGTCAACAATTGCCATCGTCAAAAGCCCTGGGGCGTCATGCTTTAGCCTAGGCGATTCATCTAAAATAAACCAAAAATGTTAATTTTGAGATAATATAACATAACACAAGCAACACTGTACAGTTTGATCTTGGTGAAGGTGGTAGTATTCTCACCTGGGAAGTTTGAACCATATATGCTTTCTCCACCGGTCCCTGAAAACATGAAAAAATGTAATGCACGTATAAGTTAAAAATTAATGGACATGAGTAAAAACCACCATATCACGGAAGAAAAAAAAAACACTTGAACCTAGACTAATCGCTAAGCCATGACGGTAAATATTAGAAAACACCAAATAGATGTGGTATTTAATCAGCAGCTGCAATACTTTCAATAATAAAAAACTAATGAAACACAGAACTCAAAGATTTAAATCCACGTATTTAAGAGACATAATTACCATCAATATTACCAATATCAAAAGTAAACCATATTTATAAATCAAATCAAAAAATTCTAATACCCCTATTCAGTTACAGGTCAGTTTGTGTTCAAGTAAAGGAGCTGTGTTAAAAATGTTTCCAATTGACTTAGAAAAGAAATTACCATCGTCACAGGAAACATGCAAATGGAACAAGGCTTGCAACTCGGACAACTGAATGATCAAATAATAAAAAAAAAACACAAAGGAAGTGACTACGTATATTGTATCAAATTGCAACCATCAAAAAATGGACAACAAACTCATAATGGGGTGCAATACATTGATATTGATAAAATACATACCATTACGATTGACAAAATCACCACCCTGTACAAAAGTAAAACCAGCAGTTAGTACACATAATAAAGTACAACAATGCATACAAAGTGGGCTGGGGCACCAAGAAGCTTAAAGCGTTACAATGATGTACAACTTTGTAAGAGCAACAAACAACATTGTAAGTACAACCTTAAAACTATATCACAAGAAAAGTAGTTGTGACCATCAGCCCTGTGTATCCTACAGCATAAACAAGGGTAATGGAAACCACTGCTAAGCCATGTTCAACCACAGTGAGGACATATATAGAAATACCATAGAAAAATCCAGATATAAGACCAGGTAAAACAACATACCTTCACGATGGAGCCTTTTATAGCACGATGGAAGAAAGAACCCTTGTAGTGCAGCGATTTTCCAGTATTTGGACCGATACCTCTCTCTCCTAAACACAATCAAAATTTGGAAGAAAAAGTGAGGAATAAGTGCATCAGGCATGAGATAGACATTTTTAAAGCAAAAATCAACTTGCAACCAAAGCTATAAACAATATCTGCATGGATGCAAAGTACATAAACATGTCCAAGAACCTGTTTACTCGGTGAATGTGTATCTGCGACTCTAGAAAATGAAATTTGAAAAGGAAAAGGAAAGTACCGGCAAACAGAGGTTAGAATAGAAGAAATTCCTAAAACAAATCAAACATAAATTTAAAATACCTGTACATAATGCACGGAAATTTTCTGCCGTCTTTGGAGCAACATCGTAGAAAAGCTGTGACGGCACAATGATCATGCATTAGGTTGTATAATGTATAGTACAACAACTGCCACACAAATATTAATATAAAGAAAGAATACAAAGTACCTCAAAACCCATCCTTTCAATAGGATCACCATCAATAGACACATCCATAAACACCAGGGGATTCTTTTTCTTTGCCATAGCCTTCATCTTATAATAATTACCAAATTTTAAAACAGCATAATCATTGACCTGAATTAACAAGGCATTATTAACAAAGAGTATTTACTCATTGATTAGAAAATAGAAATAATCATTGCATAACTATAACTGTTAATCGAAATATCAATGGTTCAAATAATAACTACTTTGTAATAGTCATAGATCTAGGTGCATTTTCAACAATCTCGAGAGGTTTATTTTCCGATCGACGTATGTTGCATTTATCGTACGCACTTCAGATACGAGTAATTCGAAAAATAATTCTGTTAATCTAATAATTGTAGGTAAAACTTGAACAAGTGTGAAATGAATCGTTAAAAAAGGAGAAGTGGATTGTCTCACAATTTTGTGGCGGGTTTCGTTGCTTCGCCTGCGATTTGCGGTGGTTTTGACGGCTGAGTTGAGTTGGATGCGGTTGAGTTGAGTTTCTGAAACTGATAAGACGGCGAAATTGCAGCGGCTTAGTTTGTTTTATTGTTTTAGGGTTTTAAGGGCCGGTTCTAAAGGAAATGAATTGGGCTTGAGATTGGTATTGAAATCTCATATATCTCTCTCTCAAATATTAATGTAAGTTACTAGTTAGTCATTAAGGTGTCTCTACCAACTATACTTTAATTATATCAAGTTAGTCTTAAGTTTTTCTTTCATTTATGTCATAATGTGCATATTGTTGAACCTTTAAAAAATTCTTATGTAGTTCTTTTGATGTAGATATATGTATGTTGTAACTAAAATTATAATAATATTCATTATTTTATTTTAGAAGGAAAAATCATGTCACATTGTATTCTTTTCAATGAAGATGATGATTCAAAGTTTAGAAAGATGGTATCGGATATAATAGAATGAAATAAAATGATAAACAATATGATTTTATTGTTTGAGTTTTGTAAATAATTGATGAAGTGGAATGGATGTCGAATTATTTGATTCAACATTCGTGGACAAATATCAACTTATTCTTTAACATATCTCTCACGACCTAATAGACTTATATCATCTTTAATGATTTGACCACACTTCAATCTGTTATTGGTTATGTTGATGAAATATCAAAGATCACATATCCATTTATCAATTTAATACACCTACAATATTTAGAACTTTTACACTAAATAATGTAGAGGTGAACCAATAGACATTTTATGTTCCGCTAGTTTTCAATCCAACCCGAACATATCTTTATATTCTCATGCAAATTATTTTTCTATCTATGAAGGATAATAATAATTTCTTTTCTTAAATATTCATTTAACAAATCGCTTATGTATATGGGTTTGGGTTTTGCCTCTTTTTATACCAAGTTAATCTCTTTGAGTGAATTTTGTCCCTCAGACTCGCTAATCTCACTAGACCATCCTTTCTTAAGTCCTAACAATTAATCGTCAATAATGCATTCAAGAGTGTATGATCTTTGTCACATCCCTTTAGGTATCTTCAATTTGTTGTGTTGAATAATTCTTTTTATGGTTTCTTTGACTCTCTTTTGGATATTCGTTCACTAACATTTTTAAACACTTTTTCTTCGAGGTTAGTTATAATAATCATTCATTTTATTTAGGCCCTTAAGTTCATCCTCGATTTATTATTTTCTATGTAGGTCGATATTCAACCAATGAAGCTTGAGGTACTCATGCAAGCACACATCCGTGAAGGTGAGAAAAATACAATAAATTATAGAGGTTGAAGTATGTTGATTTTAAAAATCTTTTTTTTTATATTCTCGAGCTCGTAGAGTAAGGTACCATGAAGTAAAGTAAATAGGAAAGATAACCACACAAAATTTATACGGGTTCGCCTCGTTAACTATTGGCTAATATAGTTCTTTCACACTTGAGAGATTTCCATTAAAGTCACACCTGATCACAGGTAATTGATGACAGTTTGTCATTATGTATTTTTTTAGTATAATTTGTATTTATTTCAAGCATTTTTTCTTTTAATTCATTAATGTTTTTGTAGGTTTTAATAAATATTTTGGATAATCGTGGAAATGACTAGCCATGCAACAACAAAAAAACATCCTAACCAAATAAACCATGTGGTATTTTACTATGAAGTTGTGATGACGGATGAAGGTGAAAACTTGCACATGAGAATCGAAAAAATAGAAGAAAAGAAGAAACTTTACAATATTTAACAAAATTGTGTTGCACAGGACAGTCAGTGTGACACCATATGGAACATGAAATAACAATTCACTATTGGAAATATCACGGCGCTCAAAACATGAAGTGCAACACAACTTTTACGATCATAAGACAGACATGTCACCAACATTGCAAAATTGTGGTGCACCATTAAGGAAACGCGACGTGATTTTGCGAGAACGTTATTTTTTTTATAAACTACCAAACGCATTTAGATGTCAGGGTTCTAAATTTTATGATAAATAAACATATTCTAAAGCATGTGAGCATGGGAGAAGGCAAGGAACCATAAGGGTTTGATGCATCATCATTTGTAAGGTGTAATTGCACTACTTTCATTAAATTTACCATTAACCCATTAAGGATGAGTGGCTAGCCCCTTTAGATTAAGTCTCCTCAAATGAATTTGCCCTTATTATTGTGAACTATGTGATCCATTTAGATATGATTTATTTAATAATAACTTCTTTATAGTTATTTAGTAATATTTTTTGTTTAATGTTTTTCCCCATTTACAAAATTGTGTGAATCGATTTAGAGTGTGTTTGATAATTTACCATATATAACATTATTAGAATTAAATATAATTGGAAGATTGTTTGTCGATCAAATCTTCCTTTGTTGCGACTCCACGCAAGATATTGGGCGGTTGTAATCGGACAAAGCATGTTATGTAACGAGACATCGTGTGCAACTATTTTATAAAATAGCCATGATATAAGAAGAGTCGTTATAGCTTGAAGGAGAGATTAACAACATCAAGAGGGGCAAATGATTCAAACAGAACTTAATTGTTTATATCATTAGTATTTTAAACTTCCAGTATTCTTGCGGAGACGATTTAAACTTATTAATTACTTGTGATTTTTGTTGGCACGGGTTATATTATACTTTTATTTTTCACACCAACAAAATGGTGTCGTTGTCGGGGATGGTTGATTACTTCAACAATGCAATATTAGGCAATTATACTTGATATTAGTTGCATTTCATTTATGTTGATTTATTTTTATTTGTATTTTAAATTTTTTATTTTATTTCAATTTATTTAGTGTTAATAAATTAAGATTTGATATGGTAGTCTCAATATGAACCATAATCATCCCATTTTAACCCAAAAACACCTAGAGTTGTGATCATAACACATTAATGGGAGAACCCTAAAACACTCAACTCGAGATCCCTTAGATAACACATCAAAGTACAAAAATGATTGGATGGTTGCTTTTGACAACCAAGGTGTTTTCGTGCGTCACTTTTAAATTACTCTTCTTTATACCTCAATGATATAACAAGTAAACTTCCATCAACCAAAACTCAATTACAATTGGGTTTTTCGGGTTACTAGACTAGTCATACATTGTCTATATTATGAAGATTTACACTTGAATCATATATTACAACACTTTCTTTCTTTCCACGTCGATAAAAATTACTTCATACTCTAGTAATTTGGTGATAATGTCTTCATTAGTATTTGTTTTTAATAATACAAAAAAAAATTGAACTTTATTCAGACTTGAGGGTTATAAGTTAGTTTTTTTAAAAAAAGGTAACATCGAAGATAAGTGTTAGACTTAACAGTTGTGTCAATGCTTAGATGAAAGTCTCTCATCACACTGAATTCAATAATCAATATGAAAAATGCACTCATTTCATATAAATTTAGTTTTTCCCTCACTTTTGTTCCAAACCCATTTGTAATATTGAGTGATTACAATTTTTAGAACAGTACAGCAGTTTGAACACAAAAACCTTGCATGCTCAGATGCTTAAAACTCATTATTTACAATGTGGTATCTTCTTCACCAACTCTTCGATCAATTTATTGTTTAAATCTAGTGACGTGATCGTTGCTCACAAGTTGTTTGATACAATTACTCTTCCAAAAGAAAACTTGGAATGTTATGATTGTAATTCGATGTTTGTGAAGTCAATATAGATGTTTTGTAAGATGAAATTGTTTGCTTTTAATCAAATTTTAGGAGTTTAAAATTGTAGGTATCATCACATTCATCTGGCTCATGAGCTTGATGAGTTTAGTTTTGGGAGTGTTCTTTTAACAATGTATGTGTTGCTTTGTGGGTCCCATTATTTGGTATTACAACTTTTACACTTCTCATGAAAAATGATTTTTAGTTATATTTAAACTCAAATGATGGATATGTTTTGCAAAATTTCAAATTTATGGAGGTTCTAAGATTTTATAATTATGCTTCATGTGATAACCTGGCAAGTTGGAATATTATTGTATCTTTGGTAGTTAAAAACGAAGAAACCCAAGTTACTTTGAATCTGTTTGATGAAATGTGTCAAGCATCTTTAATGTTAAATAGTTACACATTTTTAAGCATGTTAACACCTTGTTGTGCACTTAAAGAGATGCAAATCGGGAAAAGAGTTCATGGATTGACGATCAAATATGGAGACCGTTATCTTTGACTTTATGTAAAATTTTGATGTATGAGCTAAGCTTAAAGAACAATATCTTAGATGGTCCAGAAATATAAATAACACACATCGTGTCTCTAAAAAGATGATATTAATTTCAAATATTATTAAACATAAATAACACATAACATGTGTCTTGAAACATAACAATAATTTTAAACAGTATTAAACATAAGTAACACATACGCATCATGTTCCACCGTGTAAATGTAAATATATGTTGAGAAATTCAATGCAGAGAACAAAGTAATATTGTGAGAAATCGAGAGTTTCTTGAACAAGCAAGAAAAAATCATTCAATTCAATAAGAGAGAAAATAAAGTTGGTTATGACGATTATTGCATTCACTCTCTTATTAAGTGTTAAATAATTACAAGTGAAACAAAA